GGAAGTTTCTGCCTCCCTTATGCACCTTCTGTAACCGCCAACTAGCCTATTTCCGTGGCTAGCGCGCACAGGGCTATGCATAGAGCTCAAAGTCAAGGGCACGGAATTATAATTTGCTGCGGCATTCCGTCTGCTCGAGGCAGGAGATTTGATTCTGGCGGATCGGCAGGCTTTATCAAGAGCAACAGAAGGTGACCAGACGAGCACGTTGCAGCCAGAAAACCACCATCCTTTTTCGTTCTCTCACCAGTCGATGTGCCTTCTTATTGAATGGACTGCTCTAAGATTCGGAGGTGCCCCAAAACTATTAATGTAGGCTTCCCAGGGGAAGCTTCGAAGCTCCCCCAAATATTCGTGGACTTTGTTGTGCAGGCAAGTGAACCGTGTGGGGGCGAGGATCTGGGAGCCATGAAGGTGCTAAACCCCAGGACAAGTGAGCACAGGGGACGCATTATGTCGAAACTCCCAATGAGCTGGGTTGGGAAATGCCAACTTCAGTGTTTGCTGGAAGAGCAGCTGCGAGTTCTTGGTGCCTGCGGGAGAATGTGTGGTGCTGTGTTGATAGACACGCCAGTCTTCATGGACGGTGTTCATCGATGTTGTTAGTGATTGTGCTTTCCTCGCACATTCTCTGCCTACAATGGCTACTTTCATTCATGGGCGGCACGTGGAAACTTGCCCGTTCTTATTGCGAAGGTGTTTGGTGCTCTCAGATTTATGCGGAGGCTTCCTCAGGTACGTTGTTTCCAAACTCTTTCTCACGCCTCCTTTGGAGGATTGGTGTTGACGTTTCTGCATGCACGGGGTGCGAATGCATGCAGAGGATGCTCCATGAGACGCGGATTCACTGCTGAGCTAGTGTGCATTTTGATTTCCTTTTTATATTTCATTTGTATTCTGTTTTATCGCAGCAGGAGGCTCAGATATGGAGTGCACCAACTCCAGCGAGCCAAGGGGCGCCCGCAATCGTGTTAGCTAGTAAAAGTGTCTTTCTGTTTGCCTATATATCTCTACCGCTTGCTGCACACATCCATTTCTCTCATTTGCACTAGCTTCGCGTTTCTATCTGCCGTGAAAGTGGTAACAGGGGGGAAATTCTGCTGCCTTGCGCGCAGTCGATCACCAGATATAGGTAAGGCTTACTAGGGTGTGTAATTTAAAACTGGGTAGGGAAAAGAGAGTGGGCTATACCACACTTCAACACTTTTTTGCTGCAATATTTATAGTAACGGGGGCGGCTACACTACTCTTAAGAACTTTCTACCGCATTAGTTGAGTTTAACACGAATTAGCAATCTAGTATTGATTGGTGAGTCTGTTATTATAGCATACTTATTGGACCATACTGCAAACTCAATAAAACCAGCCGCAAACGTGTGTGCTTGTGCGCTGGACCTCATCAACTAGCTGTGAATTTTTCGACTGCTTAGAAGTGGCAGTTAGGCGTACATTAGCTCTCCCTCTTCTGTCCTATCGGAACTGAGAGGGGTGGGCGAAGCATGGAGAAAGTTCCGAAAAAGCACATTAATCATCTATGAAGTTTGCATTGAGCCTCAAGTACAGTGCCTCACTACAGGGGCCACAAGTGAACGCTGAATTTAGCTTTCTTTCTGGTTCCACACCGAAATTCTGAGAGCCACGGGCACAGAAAGGCGAGGGATTTTAATAGGTTACCGAGTAACCTTTGAGCAAGTTCGTGTTAACTGCCTTCCTCCGGCGAACTTAGATCGGGCTTTACGCGGAGCGCGAAAACGATCCTGAATATTGTGAAAATTCCCCTATAGCATCTAGCACCAGCCACGCCTTTAAGCTTTTGTAATCTGGCAGGATTCACAGATGATAAGAAAGAACAGCGGGAGTAGGAATAGCTGCACCCATTGAGCAACCCTGGTCCCAGGAAGCCGTTGCAAGCCTCCATAGCAAGCAGTCATATATTTTTGAGCTAAACCTGATTTACAAGGTAAAAATGTATAAAAAGGCAGGTTTTCAATGAGAGTAGGTAGATCTTGTTCGAGTACAATTGCTGCGATCCAGTATGCCAAGGTACAACTTAGAATTTGACCAAGAGGCTAGCTATACGGTGAAAGGTGGGTGTTCCAGGATGCTTCTTAGTAGCTCAGGATTTACCATTACTGTGTGGAGGTGAATTATAATTAGTGCAAGCATAAATTACAAAGGGTCTGGCGCTAATTGCATAATCGCCAGGCTGATGTCTCGGGTCCTGCGTCCCTCCAGTTTGCATGCTGTTGGCCCATGAGCCTGAATTCCGCCTTTTTTATGTACCCTGTAAGTTCTGGAGGATGAAAAATTTATGTTTGGGGCATATAGCTATTCGGGCTTTTCTGGGGCAAAGGCAGCTATCCCCTGAAAAAACGTTCCTTGGGGAGCGACTGCGCAGTACCGCATGCAGCAGCCAGGGGAATTCTACTGGCCTATTTTGAACAACCTCCTCTTCCAAAGCCTCATGAGGCTATAGACTGTGTCAGATTTTCCTGGCAGACGCTGCCCCTTCATACAGGAGGCGGGGCAAGGAAACTTTCGGGCACTTTTCCGTGCCAGTGCCGGGCCGGTCTTGGAATACCGTGCTATTTTGGTGGCCTATCTTCTGTCATTCTAATTTTCATATCGCGTTCTCCGTATTTTTGGAGCGTTTATGGGGCAGCAAGGCACGGAGGAGCATTTCGGCTTCCATTTTAGCTCTCGAGGAGCGCTACACGGGATCGCACGAAGGAGCTTGGCTAAATCGCGACAGATTGAGTCGTAGCTTACTGGAAATCACATTTCCTGACGGCTACATAAATTTAGACGGATAGGATGGGGCGCAGTCACATATCGGTGTTCCGAGCAATTCGTCCTCGGTGGATGACACTTCTGCTAGTTCTTTTATGGCGGCAACCCGGTGTTTTCTGCAGAGTCGCTGACGAGCGGAATGTCATCCTGGAGAAGGCGTCCGTTGCTCCGAAAACAAGGCGAGACTATTCACCCGATCCTATACCGGTAGAACGCAGGAATGCTGCACTGCAATTATTCGAACAGGTACATCCTACGCTGACTATCCACTACCACGGTTTTTCTAGAAGTGGCAGCTTGATCTGCTACGACATGATGAATGAGATCCGGACGGTAGAAGAGGCAACGGCCCTTATGTACGTGGAATATCATTTGCTGGATCTTATGCTGGAGCACTACAAAGTCAGCCAGCATATGCGCATTGTAGATGCAACTTTCGTGAGGAAAATGCTAACTGTTCAAAATCTCAATCCAGTGCGATTACTGGAGGCCGTCGCCGAGGTAACCAAATTTATAAGCATGTATGAGCCCCTTTTGCGGACTTTCCTAGATCGCTACTTAAAGCATATTGAGCTCTTGGTCATTGTGAACGTCCCCTCTATACTGGTTCCTATTCTCCCCGCTATCGCCTCACGCATCATGGGAATACCCCCTGAAAAAATTGCGGCACTTTCTAGCGGCAGGAGCCTTGATAAGTTCATGGACCGAAAATACGTACCAAAAGAGTTCGGCAATCCCAACGGATTGAGCGTCAAGAGCAACAGGGAGGAATTCACTGCATCTTGTCTTATGCTACAGGAAATCAAAACGCATTTAGGTGAATCCGCGCTCACCCCGAAAGGCAAACGTATGTTGGAGAAGTATGGTCCGCGGCTGCTCACACGAGAGGCTATGGTGGTTGCACAGGAATCTTCGACAGCAACAGCAACAGCAGCAGCGGCAGCAGCAGCAGCAAGCTCTTCCTCTGTGGCAGCCAGCATGCTGAAACCAGATGCTTCTTCGTCGTTTGATCATTCAGAAGAGAGCGAGTCGGAACCCAACCAATCAGAGCCTTTCGATGACATCGATTAGGGTGGCACTGCGCTAGAAACTACCAGGAAATCAAGAATTTCAATGAGCAACATGCTTGAATGGTTTTGAACCCTTCGCATTCTCGATCACGTGGCATTATTTCTTCTCATCATCAGTATAGTGGGTGTAGCTTCCCTTTCCACACTTACGGGCGCAACACTCCAGAGCGTCTAGCGCCCTGTCCGGTCAAAGTTTGCGGGGTATCGGCCTGGACGTTGCATGTATCTAGTCATTGGCCCACTGCGGGGCGTGTTGAACGTAAGGGCTTTTTTGAGGGCAGGACTCAAGCTCATCACAAGTGGCCTGTGCAGCCGGTTGAATTTAGAGTAGCAGCCAACGGCCTACACCGATGGTTGGTTCCTGACGGGTGGTTCACTGCTCCGCATTACGTGCCAGTACAAGTGTCATCAGAACAATGATCTGGCCGTTATACACCCACATGCAGTTGTTGAAGGAGCAGGAATAGCAGCACATAGAGACGTATGCCTTTTTGGTTTTGTTCGTGCAATCACGTCGACATGACGGCTGCACTGCGGGAGGCTTTTTGCATGCGGAAGCCGAAAACGAACTTGTAACGTCATAAGGCTTATTTTCATCAGCTGCTGAAGAGGGTTCCAGTTCGCTTTCGCTCTCTGGGGGCGTAGGGTTACGCCGATACTTTCTTTTTCTTCACGCGTTCCAGTAAAGGCTTCTTCAGGAGGCTCTAGCAGTTTTCGTAGAGCTGTAGTGCGTTCTCTGCCGCGTTTACCTCTCGACGCTGATCCAGCAGTGCGTCCTCCAGGTGCAGGATGGGAGTTTAGCGCTTAAGAAGTGCGGCTACTGCGCCGCACCGCTTAGCACAGACCTACACTTCCACTTAATCACGTTTCGGAAGTGCAGATGAAGCTAGACGAACGGCAAAGCAACAACTAGAAAAACAACCGACGCACGCTGATTATGACTTTTAAGAAGGCCCTATTTGAAGGGCGTTGCAATGTCAGACTAGGAGAGTGGAGGGGAATGATTCGGCAATAAGCTATCGTCGCACTAAAGAAGATTTAAATTAAGCGTTAAAGCAAGCAAAAGCCAGTCAGCATCGTAATCTTCAGAGCTGAAACTTGCACTGACTCTCGCTGCAGAAATTGCCAGATGGGGCGTAGCAGAACCTCAGGCCAGGAAAACGGAATGCCTATTCGACTCCGCAGGCAACGACATAATTCAGACGCGGATGGAACTGAAGAAGCGGAGAAGGGCTTTATTAGGAAATTAAACCGATGCATCTAAACGTCGCATTTTTGCTGCATGCTGCATCCAAAGACTTCTCGTATAGTAGGTGGTAAAACAGCCGCTGTCTTCGATGAATTCCAAAGTACGCAGCTAGATAAATGTGGCTAGCCCAAAACCTAAAACGGGAGTTTGTCTAAGGTGTCATGTGCCTCAGGAACTCAAATGAGATGCCCACTTCTTATTTTGCTTTCCCCCTTGTTTTGCCATGAGTAAGCAAACAATTGCCTTCCCTGTTCTTGAAACCTTATAGAGGGACTGCTTTACCCGATTCTAGGCGTCTCTTTGAAGTAATGATGGGCTGCAAGGTGGACTGCTCTCTTGATTCCTGCCGACCGACTATTTGTTCTGCATGCTCCTGCTCTCGTGCGACAGCCTCCTCCTGTGCTGTGGCATCCCCTCCGTCAATTTCTCCTGCATACTGGTCCGCAGGGTAGTAATTATAGTAGTACTTGAAATCTGTGGCATAGCTGAACCCAGGATGGAATGGGGCTCCTGGTACGGGGGCTGTCATGTGAGAATACTGGGGTACCTGCGGCATGTACGACTTGTGTTGCAACCAATTTGGGGGCGAACCAAACTGCAAGGATTCGGGGAGATGCGCCTGTCGTGAGGATTCTCGACTGTCCATTGCTGGCGGCGTATTCCCATGCGCATCTGTGGTCACCTCTTCCCCTTGCTGATGCTGGTGCAGATGTTGTTGGTAATGCTGCTGGTAAAAGTAGGCTGGGGGGGTCTGTAAGCTGTCCTGCGAATTAAGTTGCTGAGTAGTGCCCTGAGCATCCCAACAGCCTTCTAGGCCCTCTTGATAAGAAGGGTCTGTAGGCGGAGGTGGCGAACAGAACGGAGGCACTCTGTTGTACATACGGTTGGGGTAGGCCTCACGCGAAGTATAAAGAGAAGTCGGCCCACCCATCGGGCAGAACTGCATATGGGCTCTTGCTTCTTGCATCTTCATATCCATGTACCTTTCAAGATTTGTCCTTGCGTCTACTAGCTGAGGCTGGGGCTGCGAGAAAACGTTTGTCCGAGAGTGCAGCGAAGCGTTCGTTTGTTGCGGGTTACTCTGTTCAGCTTCTTGATGTGCTTGCATCTCTACCGCTTCACGCTGAGACTGTAGAGTTTGATTCTCTGTGGCATCAGCACTGGATCTGCCAATAAATTTCTGTAGGAACCTCACGGGGGTCGGTACGTTGTCAGTGCAAACGTTCCCGAGGATATCGAGCGGAGTAACCCCCCAAAACTCCTTCAAGGTCGGCTTCTTCCTCTCATCTTCCTTCGCTTTTAGCTTTGCTCCTTCGTGGGGCATACGCCTCCTCGGATGCCCGTTGAAGGCATTGCTAATCGGCATACGCCCCATGGGCACCACCGGGTAGTCGGCCGAGCTTTGCATGGTGAGGAAGCTCTACGCGGCCAGCCTGAATTATCTTAGCAAGGCTCTTTCGTCTGATGCAAAGTTACACAAAAGGCACACCGTTTGTAGAGTCAATTACTGTGCTGAGGACAGCACGCTACCGGTATGCAGGACAGACCGCTGGAAAAGTGAGCACTATACAAGGGAGAAACGAGAGAGTAGCTCATTGAAACGGAGTTTCAATCTTTGCTCTTCAAAAACATGGCTTAGTGGCGTGAAGATTGCCACGAAGTTGAAATGGACATTGCCGACTAAGTGAAGAGTCGGCAGCGGTCTCAAGTCAGGACTCACCAGGAAGCGTGTACTTTGGAAAGGACGGAGAGGGTGTGAGGAGTGAATAAGAATCAGATAGCGTTGTATATTTGTGCTATCGTGACTTTTCACGCCAGCAAAGAAGCCCGGTATGTCAAACTGATGCGCATACGGCAAGGTGTAGCTCGGCCAGCAAACCTTAAGCCCGTGCTGAGCAGGTGAAGGGAATATATACTAGGCTTCTTCCCTACCCTACATATCTGCCCTTTGCCGGCGCATAAACTTTACATGCCTAATCTTGAATTATAATTGCTTTCTGGCTCTGATTTGTCGATAGTTAGTAGCGCACTGTTCGGCCCTTGCGATCGTCGGTCCATCCCGATGCATCGCTCATCGGTTCAGCAAGTCCAAAGCCCTGTCCTGCAGATAAAGCGCAAACAATAACACACCCATGACAGAATGAACGAACTAGTATATCTCCGCATTCTGACGATTCCAGTCTACAACGGATTGGTCCGTCTATAACGTTCTCCTCACATTGCACGCCAACATAGCTCGCTCGCGAATCTTTTGTGAACTAAGAGACAATTCAAATTTATTGTACACTAAAACCCTGTCCACACGATGAGGGTGAGCCTTGACACTACTTTGCTTAATATAAGAGCGCGAATGTATGCAGGCATAGGCCGTATGCAGGAACAGAAAGCGTTGAGCATATTCGTTTACTTGTTCCAAAATCGAGTGACTATTACCTTTTAGCCCTCCAGTCAGTAAGAATTGGTATAAAAAACTTTCTGAGGGCTTCAAAAGAGTCTTCTGTAGTATGGAATGCGTTGTTTGCCCCAATAAATCAGGTGAAATTTCTGCTGCTCCGCCTTTACATCAACCGTGTAAACCGTTTCAGACAAACCGAGAATTGTCCGTGCGTCCCAAAACAAGTCAGAAAATACCGAAGGACAGGAACATGAGGGGGGAGAATCCGGAATTTGGACCTTTTGTGTGTGGAATCGATCTGACTGTTTGTTGCTACTGTGATACTCAAGAAGTGGTATACCTGCAAAGTAATGGCGCTTCTATTGAATAGGGCGAGCCTTCGTAGGCTATCAATATATCCGCATGCTTGAATCAGAAAAAAAACTGGGTTTGCCAACTTCGCACACCCTTGTAACGTCCATTTACCCATTTTAAGATGCGCATGCCCTGGACGCAATGGAACGGCAGGGTTTGCCGCCCTGTTATTTGCTGTAACTTAGAAAATTGACACTTTTACGAACATCGAGAGCCCAATCCACAGTCCCCATAGGGAGACACTTAGCTCTACAGTCAACTCACAGTTAATAGACTTACTGAGCTAGTAAAAGGCATTCCCGCCTTCCCCTGCCCAAGCCCCTTAGAGGTACCAACATGAAGGGAGAGGAGCACCTTGGATGCAAGTAGTTGCACCCTCTCCGCACTCCGGATCTTTACAGGTAGCTGCAGAAGGCAGCTAGCACACACACAGCTTTCGGTCTTCAGCTATCGAGCTAACGACGCTCCGCGGCAAGTAAGATATCATAAAGACAAACCAGATCGCCAACTTTTAACAGGAACTCAAGTAAATAGCGCTATTGTACTTGATATTGTCCAAGTGTAGCATAGCCCCCCATGTATTTTGTCCCCACTTCGAAAAAACACGCCTGCGCGTTCCGTAGCTGTACATCGAGACGGGTTGCACACAAGTCAACGGAAAGGCTCCTGCCTTGTCACCACCTTCACGGACGGCAATTATGCGAAACTAGGGCAAAGGAAAACAGCGAATGTATGCAGCTATTGGCAGAGAGATATCGGGGAGTAGAACGACACTTAAACCAACGAACACGATTGCGGGCGCCCGTTGGCTCGCTGGGGTTGGAGCACTCAAATAGGTAAGCCTCCTGCTATGACAAAACAGAAGACAAATAGAATATGAAAAGGCTTTCAAAATGCACACTGACTCAGGGGTGGTGCCACGCCTCACAATGCATTTTCTGCATGCACATGCACCCCGTGCATGCCGAAATGTCAACATCAAACCTCCAAAGGAAGCGTGAGGAAGAGCTTAGAAACAGCATACCTGAGGGAGCCTCCGCATAAATCTGAGCCCACCAAACACCTTATTCATAAACAGTAAGGCTTCCATGCCTTGCTTATAGATGAAGGTAGCTATTCCGGGGGAGGAGAATGTGCGAGGAAAGCACAATTCCCAATAAAAATGATGGGCACCGTCCATGGTGACTAGCTTTGTTTTCAACACAGCGCTACACTTCCTTTCGCGGGGATCGGAAACTTGCTAGTATTCCTCCGTCAACCACTGAATCTGGCGTTCCCCACCCTATTTCATTGGGAATTTACGCGTAATGTGCCCCCACTGCTGACTAGTCCTGGGGTCCCTCACTCCTAGTGGGAATCATGATTCTTCTGTCTTTACACGGTTCAGTTGCCTGCACGACAACCTGAGCAAGTAGGTAAAGTGAAAAATGGTCCTGGCCATCCTGCTGCAATCTTCTGCCTCTGGCCAGCTTCTGGTTCACTTCCTAAAGTCTACCGATCCACCAAAACCGACTCTCCTCGCTAGAAACAAACAGCACACCGCCGCTTATCAGCATTCCTTTCCTCTATACTTAAGCCTACGCATACGCGTGTGCGCGCTAGCCTGCTTTTTTCTGAATTCCACTCATAAGGGTGGCTACTGACATCTGACTACTACGTCCAGACACGGATTAGAAAGTGGATCCATAGTGTAGACTGGGCATGCAGGATAGTAGCGGAGAGGCAAAGTGTACTAGTATCTATGGTTGTCAAGACTTCTTCAGTTCACTCGAGCATGCGTTTAAGCTTAAACGGGGAAAAAGAGCAGAGAAAAACCGTACTGGTGAGTAGCCCCATGGAGCCCTATACAACGCGCGTGCCTCTGAAAAAATTGGATCATATAACCCGGAACTGCAAGCGCATGGGTAGAGCCAAATCACTTGGAAAACGGAAGCGAGCCCAGCTTAATTAGCCAGCTTGGTGAGCAGAGAAGGTGCGTCAGGGAAACAGCGAACTCTTCACGTAGGCTGCAAGGCAGTTAAGGGGAGGACCATGGAACACAGAGCGTTGATTGGGGGGCCCACCATACGTCACTTCTACGCTGCTCTAAGTTCGGACGAATGATAACGAGTTGCTGAAATTACTTAGCGCAGAGTGTGAAGCGAGTCTGTTTATTTAAGGAGACGGCGCAAAACTGCAGTGTGCCTGTTCAGTCAGTCGCACAGTACCCAAGACTCAGCTTTGCTGACAAAATGCAGAACGCAAGCATTTGCAAGGTTCCGGCAGTTTGATTGTACTTTAGATGGGACTTGTGTGCTATCAGCATGAATACATGACTTTTATGTTGGCCCCCTGCATCATGACTTAATCCTAGGTGAGCCATATATGATTTACTAGATGGCGGGCATGCGGTCACAATTGCGCATTGGAGAGATTACTGTGCCGAGAAGCACCAGAAAAAGCAACTCCTGCTGGCCTGTACACCACTAGTTTTATTCATGGTGAGCGGAGTGAAGCTAGTATCTGAACAAGGTGCTATAGAGCATTAGCAGGAAAGCCCAAAGGTGCAGAAACAGAAGGCAGTTCTGAGCATGGATCCTGATTTACTGGCTCTACATGTAGCCATTTTAGATGGGGACTCGACTAAACGCTTAGCCGAGAAACAGCAGGCATGGGCAAGTCTCAAAAAAGAGTATGCCGATGTGCTGCATATTGACAAGCTGCCAGCACGCTGGCCACCTGCTGGTCGTCCAACGCATCATATTGAACTAATAGCCTGGTCAGGTCCAACCTACGTTCCACCAAGTCGGGAGGCCTCCGGCATGAAACTAAACGTTTCAGGGTCAAGTATAAGAAATTGTGGAAAATGAAAACTCCAGGAATCAACTAGCGCCTTCGAGCATAACCCGGTGTTAATGCCGAAAATGGAATGAAGGTGCGGCATGTGGCTTAGCTTTTAGCCCCTGTACAAAGATACTGCTAACTAGATGCTCATGATGCCTTGCATTGGGAATATTACTTAACAACGTACACGCATCTACAGCATAGTCCACATGCGAGTTCACAGACGCCCTCTTATTAATCCCCATTCACCCAAATGACAGGCACAAAACGGTGTTTCAGCCTCGCAGTGGCAAACATGAGCCAACCTGTTTGCCTTTTGGACTTTAAAATACCACAGCTGTGCTGCAAGGGCAAATTAATTAAAATCTGCATGAGCAAAGCAAGCAGGGGTAGTGGATTCTCTGCTTGGACGACGTCTTGGTATTTAACGGAAACGTTTAAGATCATCGTTCAACACCACACGGCATGCGCTTCAACTGACGCTGGACAAGCAGCGTTGTGGAAAGCCATGAAGCTGTTCCTTTCATGAATGCATTCGTGGTTCCAGCGTTTCAAGTCATAGCTGCAGGATTTGAGCTGTGTCTAACAGAAGCTGGAGCACCGAAGGTATGACCTTTTAGTGTAACGCCCCCCGCGCGGACGTTTGGAAGATTTGTGGGCTTGCACCATATTACCGAAATTTCATTTATGGGTTGCTCAGATGGGTGATCCTTTGACTAATGCACTAAAGGAAACGTAGTCCATTACCTGGAAAGAGGAGGCCGATACCCCAGGGGGCGCTCTTGGAGGCCTTTCACCTCCTTGGTTACTCACACTGCCTGATTATGAGTCATTTCTTCCCAACAACATACGATAGTGGCCTATCGCTAGATGTTACGTTCTCCTACCACTTTGTCAGCTTTCCAGACTACCGAATTAATTCTTGGTATTCTCATCGTTTCACCGAAGCAGCGCACGGCTTTCTCGTGGGGGAAGGGATTTCTATGCATTGTGGTACTCAGTGGCGAAGCACTATTTATGTGGGCATCATTTCACTATCCAGACCGACCAGCAGTCATTATCGCACCTTATGAGAAATTCTCGGGAGTTGTAATCTTTGAGGTGGTCGCAGGTTTGGACGCCTGCTTCAGTGTGCCTTTACGGTAAAGTACACTACGAGCATCACAAACGCGGCCTCCGATGCGCTCTTGACGCCCCAGGAATTAACTTCCGTACAGCGCAGCCGTTCCTGTGTGTTATGATTCACGATTTATATCCGCATTGTGTAATCCTTGTGATTTTAACACTGATGCATGCTGGTATCGCCAACACACAGAATGGCGAAAAGGTGAAGTACTATTACGTGGACAATGGCCTCTGTGGTTCAAAACAACACGGGCTTGTACAACCCGGCTTGGATTCGCTGGACCGTTTTGTGCAAAGCACATAACAATGTTTTGCTTGGCCACGGTAGTACTCACACTGCAGAAAAGCAGCTTTCACAGACCTTCTGATGCTCCTATGACACGTTCACCGTCAGATGAGTATACCCAGTCATGCTCAGACTGTCAGCAGCTGAGGGTACGAAATTTTCTCAAACCCGGACTTTTGCCTTTCCTTTTGGTTCCTGAAGGTACTTGGAAAGTTCAGAGGATGCATTGAACTGTTGGACTGCCGGAGGTCAGTAGTTAGGATCGCGTCTGAGTCGCTGTCAATATACTCAGAAAATGAGCGCGCTTCATCCCATGCTCCAGCTCTGCCACCGCTCACGGAGTTTCTCGATCCTTTGCAACTCGTCCCTGGAAGCTTCACAAAGTTTTCAAGAGTATAACCACGAATACGTAATCACGAATATCAATTTAAAGCTCTCTAGTGGGTTCTGGCGTGCCTTTATACCATCCGTAAACCTTATTCACAATAGGGCCATTGCGAAGCCCCGTGAGGGAGATTGACAGACAGAGCGCACCAAGCGCACGCTTCTGCGGTATCTGCGGCTCTCGATGTGCAAAAAACGTTGCTTGGCGTGAATTTCTTACCTCTGCTGAGTGGGCTTCAATTACAGCCGTACCCGTTGCCTGTCTGCTACTATTCTGCATGCCAAGTCTAAACAAAGGATCCACTTTCGAATTCGTGTCTGAACGTAGTGGTCGGACGTCAGCAGCCTCCCTTAGCAGTAGAAGATACAGAGAGAAGCAATGCACACACGTGTATTTGTAAAGCTTAGAAAAAGGGAGGAATTATGATAAGGAGTGTTCTGTTTGTTTCTAGCGAGGGAATGTGGCTCTAGTGGATCGGTAGACTGTAGAAAGTGCACTAGAGATGGCCAGAGGCAGACGCTTGCAGCAAGGTGGTCAGGATCTTTGTCATTATCTCGATAATCAATTCTTTTTCTTATTGCATGAAATGCTCTTAAAATTGGAGGTGCCCCAGATCCTTCAATATTTACCTTTGTAAAAAAAACCTTCAAGACTCCCCATACTATTTGCGAACTTAATCAGGCAGGCAAGTATGAGCATGAAGACGGAAAGGTCAAAGTAACCAGTAGAAGTGCTGGACCCCGAGAGAAGAGAGCACCGGGGACATATTAGGAGGAAATTCCTAATCAAATGAGATAAGCAACGCCAGCCTCATTGGTTGACGGAGGCGCAGCTACGAGTTTCATTGCCTGCCAGAGAATGTGTGGCCCTGTTTTGTTAACAACGTTAGTCATCATAGACGTTATTCCTTACAGGCCGTGGTTGCTGTGCTTCGTTGAGCATTCTCTGCCTGGAATAGCTACCTTTTTCTATGGGCAGTGTGTGGCAACTTGTTGTATCGTGTCGCTAAGGCATTTGACGTACTCAGATTTGTGCGGAAGCTCGCTCAGGTACGTTGTTTATACACTCTTTATCACGCCTCTTTTGGAGGTCAGATGTTGACTTGGCTGCCTTTACCGGCTGTATACGCATGCAGCGGATGCTCTATGAGGCTCGGATTCACTGCTGACCAAGTGCCCATTTTGAATTCCTTTCCACGTTTTACTTGTCTTCCGTTTTATCATATCAGGAGGCTCACCTATCGAGCGCTTCGACGAATACAAGCATTCGCGCTGCCGTGGTCACGTTGCTTTTATTCCTCCGCCGTTGTTCTCTAGTGCTTGCTTCTTTCTTCCTTTCTATTTCTGCATACCGGCTAATGCCCACTTCTGTCTGGCAGACCTTTCTGCGTTTTGGCCTACCTGGGTTGGAACATAGGGCAGAAACTCTGCTGCTCCCATGCAAGTACTTGGTCTTAACGTACAGGTACACAATACGAGAGCGTGTGATCTGAAACTGGGAGGGGAAAGTAGGGGGCTAAGTTACCCTTCAACACTTTACTACACTCGTTATATTCAACTAAGAATTGAAAAAGGAAGGACCGATTGATTTTTATTTGTATAGCCTACTCATTGCACTGTACTGTTAAGACGGTTGAATAGTTCATACTGTTTGGCGCGTCCTTGCTGGATCCTTTGCGTTGCTAGTTGTTTATACTCGAAGTACTTGGAAGGTACATCTACGCGCATCTTAGCTGCCCCTAGCATCTCATGTCAGGAAATTGGGTGACTGGGTCAGGGAAAGGAGAGACGCCCCTTGTAAAACTACTCAATAACCATCTAATAATGTATTGACTCTGGAGCTAAGCGTCTCCCTACAGACACCCTGAATGCGGCGATACCACCACAGATGGAGCATTACGGTCCCAATACGTCCGTTTTAAATGTATAAAATGGGCAATTGCTGAGTAACGTCTCATGGATTTTAGTGTGCCTTTCTTGTGGAGTGCCAGTCGGGACATCGTTAACTTCCAAACCCAATTAACGCTACAAAGAGAGCTACCCAGTGTCCATTCCGAAAAGCTTCTAGTTTGGCTTGCCATCACCTCGCAGACTGCCGGGATAGGGAAGCAGAGAACTACGGAGGTGGTGTCAAACTCTAGGCACTCCGAACATTAGCAGTTTTCGGACCTTTTAACGCACAACCACGACATTCATTCTTGCAGTATGGAACTAGCCGTGTTCTGGAACAAATGAAATGAACGAATAGTCACTCCAGACGATCAGTACCAGCAGATTATTCATTAAAAATAGGCGGTGTAGTAGAACTTGACTAGGCGTAGCTTGGCTCTCTCAATTATAGCTCTCCTTCTAAATTCGATGGGTAGGGGGACAAAGCGTGGTGTTCGCAAATCCAGAGGCAATGCTGAATGTAAAGGCCGTCGTTCCATGCCCCCAAGTGGAGACACACATTTCTGCCTGTCCTAGTGCCAAAATACTACAGTGAATCCAGAGTGAAAAGCACTACGTTTGTCAATTCAGCATGCGAGCGCGCATACTCCCAACCTCTGCGGCGGCGTCTTTCAATCCATCCGGGTATTACACCACCTGAACACAGCTTTGAGAAGGAACATGTTGCAAGAAATATGTCTTTTTTGTACGCGTGATGTTTGGTGCGCACTGACTAGGATTCGTCCAAAGGAGCCGGCGCGCAGAGGGCCGTGCGTGCATCTTTCACAACCTTAATGGCCTCCGATACTAGCAAAGTTTGACCTTTATAGAACAAATTAACATTTTAGAAATGTAATCAGGGTATAAGAAATTAATAGAGAAAAATACTTCTCCCTAAAAACAGGAGACAGCGGTATCGGGATGTCCAGTGGACACAAGCGATGGAGCGTCTGGCGACCGTCGATGTGTCGCTGCATGCTTCGAAAATCAATACAATACGCGACACAAATTATGTGTTTCAAGCTTCTCCGAAACCATTTCTCTGGCGCTTTGGCCAGCTACCAGCTGGGTATCAATTTATCATCTCCCTCATGGACGAAAAAGTCAGCTTTGAGGGTTCCGGTTGTCCTATCTGCTGAATGAGACGCTGGAAACTGCAATTCAGCGAGTTAATTGGAGTTCATGCCTATTTATTGTCATAATCCACGGGCTTAAGTCCTTGAATTGTTGTCAGACTGCGGGAAATGTAATGAGGCAAGGAGGGCTTTGAAAAACCCGGGGGCACCTGCACTCATCATCATTCTCGTACCAATACCCAAAAGCAGACTCCACACATCGGGAGACGACTGGAACTGCTTGATTCGTTGACCTCAGTGAGAGGGAAAGACTCATAAAGGCTGCAAAAAGCGCGCTTCCTGACCCTCGGGCCTAACACGACACGGAGGAGAAAATGCCCATCAATAGGCTTAATAGCGGCTACAGCGGCTATTTGTCTGGCCAGTCTGAATCAAGCGAGCACTTGCAAGTCCGCAGCGATACCTTCTACGGCAGATTAGGCTCCGTAAGAGACACTGGGCATGCAACAACCCCCACAAGGAGAAGTAAGCCAGTCGACGCCGAAGGCCTTCTCGCAGATGAGCTTCGAGCAGCAAAATGAAGAACCATCCATTACAAAAGATTTCATTTTGACATCGCATTTATTCTGTATTTTTGAGTGCAACAGTGTGATGATCGGCTTTGGTCGGCGATGTTTGAGCTGTTGTTATGTCTCGCAGAGTCCTTTTCTCAGCAATCTTCCCTTCGGCGGATCAGTGTGCGGCTTTCCTACGATGAGGACGCATACCCTGGAGGGCTTGACATTGGTAGGACCCACGGAGCATACGAATCAGACTTTGCAGGATTATTGCTTTTAGAGATCATGATACATGTTTTGACATTTGTAAGGATGAATTATTTGTGGGAGGCTTGATATCGTATGATTTTAGTGGTTTGACAAGTTTCAGATATTAAAGTTTGCCCCTGCTTGTGTGCATCCCGATGACCATCAGAATCTTCCTTTGTCCTCGTTGTAGCACTGCTGCTATATTGGGGTGCACCAGATGATTCCTAGTTGTACAGCTACCCATCGCTTCCAACGGCAAACTACACACTCATCCTGCCTCTCTGTGTTTGTGCTTCGTTTTTATCATTACCCCTTAGCCTATCTCGCAGACATTCTTTTACTATGATCCTCGACTTCTGTGGCTGAACCTGTTGCTTTTGCACGTTTGAGTAAGACAAAGGGAAAGTGGATTACAGCACGATTTAGTTTTCTTGTCATGTCTGTTTCTTGCTTTGAAGACATGTTCGCACTTCTTTACGATACGTCCTGCACCTTCGTTGATTGCATTTTCTACAAACATCCTGAGGATGCAAGCGGCAGTTTCTCGCTAAACCAAAAGACGAACTCCCTAGCTATCGATTTGGAATCTGTGCCGGACTCCTGCCACACTATTGTCTTGGCCGCCGCTGTGTACACTACGGGAATGTCTATCACAGGTGAAGTTGAGATGGATATGTCATACAGTTCCCATAGGTACTCAACTAGCTGGTCTGGTCTACATGGCGGAGGCAAATCTGAGCATAGACTCACGCCGTTCTTATGGGCCGGCTTCTCCCTCTGCCGGCAATCATCCTACTGTACAGACCGTCTGCAATTTACACGGGATGTCACTGAAGCGCTTAGTTATTTCTCTTTCTTCGAGAGAGTGGAGGCAGTTGAATTTTGCTGGCTACCTGCGGAGCAGTCAGAAAACGTCCCAGAAGTTTGAATGCCTGTGAAGTATTGTGTGTGCATGGCGTAGAGCTTGATGGCGGCATAATAGAGATATTCGAGGGATTTATGGGCCCAACCTTAATTTCGATTGAGCTCCAATCCCTAGATTTGAATGGTGAAAACGGCAGCGATGCGGCGGGCTTCGTATTTCTTGCACTTTCGGAGTTTGGGGGGAAGTGGCGATGCCGCCGACTTGAGCGATTTTGTAAACCTGAACTCCCTGTTCTTATGAAGGTCTCGAAGGTGAGCGAGAAACAACAAGCGGCTCAATAATCGGTAATAGTTGTTTTGCGCGCCTGAACACTATAGTACAACAGTTTATGAAAGAACTAACAGGAGTACGTGATGCTATTAAAAGCTATACCGTTCTGCTACACATTTGCCTCGTTCCTTCTATTATTTATTTAAGTACTTGTGGTTTCGTGACAATTTGCAACACCGGTTTCCCTCCTCCGTCTTAAATGGAGGCAAAACAATACCTTTTGCTGCCGTCAACCTTCTGCTTGGTATTTCATTTGATCTGCTTCATCCTTTTACCCTAATACTTTTTTCCTGCGTGGGTTCATTTTCTTACTTTGTTGAATGATTCCATTGGCTTGTTCCTGCCTGTTCGCAGTTGGGAGTTTGGCTGTCTGCTTTGTGCTTGTTTTCCGGGGGCTGTCCCATGTTGCTCCACGTCGTTGCCCGTATCTTGGCTTGCCTGTCTACCTAATTTTAGGAGGAGTCCCAGCAACTAGAAGAGGATTTCGCAATGGGAAATCTCCAAAACCTGCGAACATTGGACTTCGCCGCGAAAAGGATGGAGGTAACGAAATCACCTGTCTTGCGAGCAATTCTCTAGCTCAACTTTATGAGCTTCCCTCTCATTGAATTTTGATCTTAGGTGCAAAATCGAGGAAGGCAGGCGTGTGAGCAGCATTATTTTTGCATTTTGCCTCACGAGCATGATGAGCATATGTGTCTTACAGCTGTGAAGTTACTTGGACACGTGAGTGAAGTAATATCTAGCACAGCTTTGCGATGCATGTGTGATCACCTACTTCACAGCGTACAGCGGTACAATAATGTCAACAGTTCGTTGACAGTTTGTTGTTTCAGGTGGTCCCGGACTCTGGGAGAGTCACGGAAACCAGCAGGTTTTCACCGAATACAAGCAAACTCGGCAAACTCGGCGTTTTGCAGAGCAGGCTTTCTTCTCTGGCGAAACAGGAGAAGGATGAAGGTCAGTGAGAGTATACGCTCAAAGCAAGAGTCAGAATGCATTTTACACCTTTAACTTTACAGGAGTGTACACAACACACAGAAAACTTCGGTGCTGTCAGTCTACCAAATAAGCGTACACAGTTAACCTAAAGGGGAGAAGGCGGGGTGTGAAGCTGCCCTGCAGCAATCGATAAGGAAATGGGCTCAAGCATGTGTTAAAGCTTCGAAATCACGCATCTCTGCTTACCCTGCTGGAACAGTTTCATTGCCCTTTATTGTTAATAATTGCCTTTTGCATATGCCTTTTTTTGATCTAGGTGAGAGAAAAACGGTTGCGCGTTTGTCGGCGGTGGAGGCGGAGCAGCAGCGCATGTCTCGCCGACTGATGAATATAGAAGATAAGCTTGACATGCTTCTCGACGCTCTAAAATAATAATTTGGTTTATAGTGGGATCCACGTAGATAATGGTGACAGGAAGCCGCCATTGTCCGCGGGTGTCTGACCACACGGAATCTGAGGTTTATGTACGCATCCTAAATGAACTCCCCAGGAATAAAGGAGGAGTTTAGATAAAGGGCTTGCCTTTTGCACTAAAGATTGACTAACAGGTAACAGGATGGTGTAAACTTGGAGCACCATACATCATGTATGATGCTAACGGGCTTTCCTTCCCTTCTTGTATTGCACCACGTTTCTCGTTTTTCAATTGTGGTGCCCAAAAGCGCCGTAATGGCAATTGAACGTTCACTGGAGCGTACGGAATATATGCCAAGGCAAGGGCAATTGAATACATACCCTTGTGACTCGTGGGGCTCTCAATAAAAGCAAGGGAGGAACTGGTTGTTTTGCTACCGATAAGCAATGTGCCGCAGGCATCGGTTTTAAAGGGCTACACCCCTAAGCAGGTGCCAGCCTAGTTGCCTCCAATGATTCTTATACATTGATCAATGTGCGCACACAACCTACTGCGTAAGAATCTGTGCCATTACACAGCAAGCGGCATGTGGAAGCGCTGTATAAGGTATACTTATTTAGGGGTGCAACAGTTTTAAATCTTAGAAACTTAATGGCTATCGCCTTGCCTGGATGTGCGAAGCATCCTAGTCCCGCAATTGACCCATGCCTTAAGGGCATTGATGTAGACAAGGCCAATGTGTTTTGGCAAACTCCTGTGCACAATAGATGTCTCCCCTCGCTGCTAGGTGGTCTCAACCTGTGCACAACGAACTGAACATACGTAACGCCCCGCCCGTTTTTACGCAGCTTGTGTGACGCCATATCCAAGGTCGCCGTAGGGCCAAACTTTGCTCTAGGCTGAATACGAACTTCATAGAAAGTTAGTCAGTTTCCCTTAACCCCCTCCTTCCAGCGCACGTGCCCCTCCGAGGTCCGACACGAGGGGAGAGGGGCAGTTATGGTGCACGCAGCTGCACCTTCTGAGCACTCCGAGCATTCACAGCTAGTTGCACATAACATCTAGTGCACACGCGCGCCACGGTGGGTCTTATCTAGCGGACACTACTATCCAAGATGTGCGGAACGACGAACCAATTAGTCGTTTCTTTACTATTTCTTATTCGAATATAACTACTGTACTAGAATGCAGCTGAGCCAGATGCAGCGTGGCTTCTTGTCTATATGAAAGAGGGGCTATGTACGCAAGCTACTGCACTAGCTTCTTTGGCAATTCGGTGTAGGGTTACAATAGAGAAGCCTAAAGTACAAACCATGCCCATCATATACTTACAAGTAAGCAATTTACAATACCAGAAACAAGTAACAAGGGGAAAACCAGCAGCACTAGTGACAGTTACCTGTGCACATATACGCAACTAGCAAATTGCCAAATCAACGGTGCAACAAAGCAGCGAAAGTAGTCAAGTCCCGAGCCGGATAGGCCCCAATGCACCTAACGAAATACAAAGCTTTGGGTTTATCAGTGTCGACGAAATCACAAACAGCCCCAAATCTCTAGTAAACACGTTGGACTGCCTCGTGCCATACAGACAGAAAGAAGTACCGCGGCGCGAGGAACTGGCCTACACCCCTATACAACGACGCACCCAGCTGCTTGCTGCACTACGGTGCACATACATCCAAGAACATACAGGCGATGCAGAAAACCGCCGGGCTATTTTTTGATTAGAGCAATCCACCGAAGAGCTCAAACCCTAAAGGTGAGCTCCAAGAGAGGCGATGCATGCCCAGCTGTTGTGTTGGTGTGTACATGCATCCACATACACCTAGAGCGATAAAGGACTCATATATATTACAATATATATGAGTACGCATGTTTGCTTACCTATCTCCCGATGTAGACTGCACACAGATTTATGCAAATACCCCAAAAGACTATGCAGAGGTGTACGCAAATGCACGCATGCCTGCACTTTTCCTCCTCAGTACCCGTAGCCAAGCGTTGCGCCACTCTTGGGGATGAAATAGTATTCGCTGAGGAGCATCGACAGCAGCAAAGTGTAGATGAAGGATAGTAGTGAGCCAACTCCCAGGGCCCGTTCACCCCACACTGCACGACGCGAACCAGCTGGGGCACCTGCGCGCAAAGAGCCGGAAAACCGTGATGTGCCCGTTTCTCCGCATGTACATATCAAAAACTATATATCCTGGCACCCTAACGTGAGCAATTCAGTGCACATATTAGCTTGCCCCCGCCCCTCTAGCGAAATGATATGGGCATGCTACAACAGCCGTTAGTCATGAGAAGCACATGTTTTGCATGCACCCATAGGAAAACTCATCATAAATCTGCCTCACAAAACAGCGCAAATCTGCATCTGTACGAAACGCACTGAAGTGCGAACCCGAAGTGCTGCGGCTCACTAAGTGAGAGGCAAAAGGCGGCACATCCTATTGGGGGGACGATGAAGGAAAGGAAGAAGGACGCGATGATGTACGGCAACCAGCTGCTTCCTTTGTCAAGCATATGTGAAGTCTGCAGTAAATGCACTAGACAATACTACGAATCATTAACACCTTTTACTAGGGAGCGGCACCCATGCCTCGGGGTGGCAAAATAAGCCCCTGCTAGTGCGAGATCGCAAATATAATTAGGACCTGAAGCCATGAAAATGTATCAAGAGAATGATCCATTCTCTAATGCAAAGGCTGCTTGATTCTTACCTCCACAAAAACTTTGGTCTCAGCGTCCGGTGCGTCAGCGCCTTCCCAAGAATCCTGCGAGCAGCGAAAAAGGATATCAACAGCAACAAGAAAGCCCATCCTCAGGAGTAAGCGGGAACACGTGGTGAGCAGAACATGGAGTGACAGCGGAGTAGGGAGATATAGCAACCATGACAGAACGGGCGGCATATATATACATATATCGAAAAAGAAAACGAACGACAGCCTCAGGGGGGTCGATATACGCCGTGCATCCGTTCTTGTTTAAACATCCATTCAGTATTCGCCTCCTCACCTTCCTAGTGTTTGCTATATCTGTTCCCTGAGGGGGATCTGCCTGAACCCAGTCACCTTCCTGCACCATTTTTACTCGGGAACGGTAGGGCCCCCTTTCGTTCCGTTTCGATCGAGTGGATACAGCCCAACTCACGGGTAGGGACCGCTAGAAGAGCTGGACTAGTTCCAGCGGCTTTCTTACTGCCGATGTGCGTATGCAGCACTACCTACAACCCACGGTGCAGGCCTTTGCTGCTGATGCCACCACTGTAAATACGATGACTTTGCCTTTAGGGGATGCTGCCGAAGCACAAGAGGCACAGTAGACCCCCACTTGGAAGCATGTCGAGTAGCTACTGGGAAATTAAGGCGACTATCCTCTTCGTCTCCTGCTCGCAATGCAGTGCATGCCTTGGATCGCTGGCCAGAAAATGTGCGTTCGCGGTGCGGCCTGCTAAAATACCCACTTCGGCATCTCAACATCCCAATAGCACGGCTTTTATGGAGAGATATTCTCGTAATTTGGGTCCTTCGAGCAATGAATGAACCCCAAACCCTTCAGCCCCACTGCAGAAACACACCGAATTGGTATTGCTGCGCAGTGCACGGCAGGAGGGAATAGGCAGCCGGGCTCCGTCTGAGCTTTGAGGTCTACGTCTTTGCTACCTATGACAAGGAATATCAACATAAGTTCTATTATATGGATGAACGAGTAAGAATAAGGCGTCTTTAGCCGGCTAGGGGACAGAGGAGCGTGATCGCAAGGCTGCTCTACTAAAATCAAGGACACAGGGGGGGCCGTACGGGCTATACAACTAGCTCGCATAAGTTATTTTACTTCTTTCCCAACTTGAATGCAGAAGATGACTTAGTGGCCTTAATCACGTAAACGGGTTCATTCCTCGCGTTTAGGTAGCCCCGTCAGCACCCGTATTGATATCATCCGCACCTCAAGCGGCTCAAGCGTGAACTGCGCTCTGTAGACCCCTCATGGGCGAGTGCAAACGAGCTGCAACTGTAGCATGTTGCCTCATATACAGATCCAAAAATAGCAGCCAAGTATAATAAAGAAATTAGGAGCAGAATGTTCTGCGAGGCTGGAAGCTTCTATGGCCCGGAATACCCAGCCACCGGCCTGGAGATGAGACCCGCCAACTGCAATCATTTAACCCTAACGACCTTTGTAATTGAATGTAAACTCCTTTGGTGCATGCCAGAAAACCATGACTGCCTGCGCACCGCTGGCCCTAGCGCAAGCCTACGCGCAACCAACAGAACCCGACGGGGAAGAAATGAGGGTTAGCACCGCTAACAGGTGAAAACCTAACCCTTATCAGAAACGTCCGCAACAAAGAATAAGTATCCTGCCGCATGAGTTTGGGCGCTACTCGTTATTTAAGAACACAACGCACGCCGGCGAACAGATTCAGAAAAACACCAAAACACCTCGGCGTTTTAGTGCCCTTCTACTTCCCACAGTTTCGAATTGTGAGAACAGGTTCTTCTGCCTTTGCTATCGTGTAGCTACTAACAGGGCACTGAGAAGCCCATCCTACAGCTCGCCTTGCTTGCCCAACCACCGCAACTTCAGCACGCGCTGCAAGTCGCTTTATGCGCGCGACGCGCTTCACAGCAATAAGGAGGCAGAAGGCGTTACGCTGCATTGTACGATAATTTACGGCAGCTTGCCATTATGGGTACAGAGTATGCCCCGATGTGATCCAGCTAGCCACCATTTTGCGGGCTTTCATTGGTTGATGTACTGGGAGGCGTCTATTGCAGCCGGCATCTCAGGAATGTGGACTTCGAATCGGGTTTGCACGTCGTTCAGGACGTTGGTATCTTCCTGACTCGCCACAAACGTCACCGCCAAGCCTTTCGTACCGAAGCGACCAGCACGCCCCACCCTGAGAATAAGCAAAAAGATTATTGCAATATATTTTTGAAGCTGGAATACATCAGATGCCCTGCTGACCCAAAACACGAAACCCTAAGGTGCTTTTGCAGCATAGACAGCTTGCACGCAAGTGTAGTTCGAAAAGTGTCAACACTGATTTACCTGTGAAGGTAGGAGTCACTGCTCTCCGGCATGTCGTAGTTGACGACAATATTAACTCGTTCAATGTCAATTCCGCGGCCAAAGAGATCGGTCGCCACCATTATGCGTTTCTCGAAGTTCTTGAACTGCTGGTACCGGTTGATCCTTTAAACCGAACATGACATGAAGGGCAAGATGTATTCAGCGCGTTATCTATTTGCCGTACTTGCAAGCATGATTTTGTTTGATAAGGACCGTGAGCAAAACTCAAGGGATTATCCTCGTACCTGTCTTCCTGATCGAGTCCTCTATGAATGGCAATAGAGGGGAAGTTGCATTCAGTCAACAGTTTATTGAGTGCCTGGGCCCTGGAGACAGACTTGACGAAGATGATGACCTGGTTAAACTCCAGCGAGTCAAGGAGATCATTGAGCCGCCTATTCTTGTCAGCTTCGGCCAATTTTACGTAGTACTGCAGGAGCCCGTGTAAAGTAAGCTTGCTTTCGTCATCGATGAATACCTCCACCGGGTTTTGCATGAAGCGCTTGCACACCGCGCGCATTTCGCGCCCCATCGTCGCCGAAAAGAACATTACCTGCCTGAAAAGAGAAGCAACTCATCACCGGCCATGCGTGGAGTTTAACTGGGGCCCGAACCGCCTTTCCTGCAGGTTAGCTCGGTACAACACAGCGCCGAGCACAGAAAAGCTGCAGAGAATACCCTTCAGTAGGTGCTATGGGCGCATTTCACAGGGTAGAAACCCACTTCTTCTTTGGCGTGAGTACGAAGATCGACTGGACATCTTTCCTCATGTCGAGCTTCTCGAGACACTTATCGCATTCATCAAGAACAAAGTGGCTTATTTTGCTGGGGTCAAGGTGCTTCCCCAAAAGAAGGGCCAATAACCTGCCAGGTGTACCGATGAGGATGGAAGGGACCCTCTTTGGGTCGGAGAGCATTTCAATGTTCTTTTGGATCGGCACACCGCCGTACACCACTTCGCACTTCACGTATTTCAAGTACTTGCTGAATCGCTCGAACTCGTTTTTTATCTGGAATGCAAGCTCGCGGGTGTGAGCCAGACCCAGGCAGACAACGCCGGGCACTGCACTGTCTGCTGCCGCAGTTGTAGCTCCAGAGCCCTCTGCTGTCTCGCCTCCTGCACGCTTAGGGGCCGAGGCAGCCGGGGCGGCAGCAGCAGCGCTATCCACGTTCAGCTGTTGCAAGATGGACAACACAAATACCGCAGTTTTACCCATGCCACTCTTCGCTTGGCACAGAATGTCAACACCCGTAATCGCGTGGGGAATCGTCTCGTGCTGTACTTCCGAGGGATGCTCAAACCCTACAAGAAACAAAAACGCAAAAACACGAACTAGGTGAACGTGCAAGGTCCCACAGAAGCATCGACGCATGCAGTACGGCGCTACTGTGTACCAGTGCAACGCAGCCCCATTATTACGCTTGCGCAGATCATGTTCCTACAGGGTAACCTAGCATATCCATCCCGCTATACCCAATCGGCTCGAAAAGCCAAACGCCTGGGTATCATGAGGCGCACCTGCGTCGCCAATAGCCCTCAAGAGTTCAGGCTTGAGAAAGAAATCCCTAAAGCCGCTCGCATGAATCGAAACGTAGTTTCCTCGGCCGACAACCTCCTCCCCGACGCCCTTCTCCTGAAGTAAAAAGCGAAGAGCCAAATGGGGTTGTGTCGACAAAACGCGAGAAGAAGGTGCACAAGGAGCCGTAAAATATATGACGAAGACTCTTGGTGACGCAACCGCCTCGGAGATCAGAAACAGAGAGAAGGTAAGGCAGTAAGACGAAAGAACACAAGTGCTGTTGCTCCATAGCGGTATACGAAGAACACTAAAAACAGCCAGCAGGAATACAACTACGAGAACAAAACACCACTGCAACAGACAATGAGGCAAATGTAACCAGGGTCCCGCACAAGAAGAATGGAGAATGCCACAAGGCAACGAAACAGGTATATTCTGTGCACAATCAGACGCGTGAGGAAGGGTACACCGAAAACGAGGTGACCCTTCAGGACTATACATATCATCACCAATGTCTCCATATGCTGTGATTGCGCCCCGCCCAACGCAACTATTTCTACTTCACCTTCACAAAATCCCGAACCCAAACTGTCGTGTTAATTTCCTATGTCTGTATTCTGCAGCCGTCGGGCGCTGGCGTCTTTTCCGGGTCAAAAGCAGGGGACTACCGGTGCAACTAGAAAATATTCTGACCCTCTCAGACCCCGCTTTATGTTCAAATCAGCCGCAAAAGGACAAGGGAATGACTAAGTTGGAATTTAAGACGCAGGGGGTTCTGCGTGCCCTGTTAGGATCACTGGGCGCAGGGAAAACCCGTCGCTGCCTCATGGCTGCCGCCTTCTGTCGTCTACTTTCTAGAGGATTGGTAAAATGAAAATTTGAGAGCATCTCCGGCTGTCGAAGAAACCACTGTTGAGGCCCACCGACAGACACCAAGCTGGAGCTGTGCTGCTGCAACGCGATGCTTGGGTTTGCCAAAGCCTGTGGCTGAAGCATTCGGTGTACACGCACCTTGGCGTCGTTTTGCTGCTCATCTTCTTCATAATCAACCAACTCGTCAGCAGGGTTCTGCTCCAGAGCCGCCATTGTGCCGCCGCGTGGGGGAGGGAGGAGGGAGGGAGGTGCTGACGCTATGGTGGCGTCCTCTTGTTCCTACAGATTGTAATAAGCCACGTTGTTCGGCAGCAGATTTCCGGGCTACTGGTTCGCTGCTGAAAAGAATGAAAGCAAATGCAAGACGCAAACAGGAAAGGGAGCAGTGCATGCAGCAGCTGCTGCCTCTTATGCAACTGCTGCTGCCGCGGAGGCTGCTGCGCCGTGCCGCAGACGCACGGACGGAGTAGCAGCAGGCTTCATTTTACTCTCACGTTGAGTTTTGAATAATCGTCTTCTGATCTTTGCTGAAGAGAACAACCATGGTCAAAAGCTTAGGGACAGTGGGACCACAGCATCCCCTTCTCCCCCACAGAGAGCGCGACAGGGCCTCCATGCCTTGCACTCAAAGACGAAACAGTGGTAGAGGGGGCTATTTCCTGCGAATGAATAAATACGCGATCTGTGTGATTAGAGCATATGGTGTTAAGCAACAGGGTAGCCCTATCTACCACGCACAGCAGTTAGTAGGGCACTTTGCTGCGAAATGATAAAAGAATGGCACGAGAGGGCTTCTCCTGTGATTTTAGCAAAGCACCATACAAAAACCAGTACGATGTGACAGCAGGTCGATCTTAAACACGAATGACAGTGCTGACGACATTATGGTGCACGCACAAGCAACCGCCACAGACCAGTCGAATTTGCCAAAAGTGCGCAGAGGTCTAGGGGGCAAAGATACAGTCTGCATTTCCTGCACCACTACTTATAGCTAACTAACAATTAGTAAATAAGCAACTAATTCGTTTGTCTGTTCGTGCATCCTGATGATAACAGAATAAGTGTAGCTCGATACAGGACGACCCAGTGCTGCGGGCATGTGCGCTGGATACTATGCGCACTAGGCGTGAATGCTCGGAGTCCTGAGAAGGTGAAGCTACGCGCACCCTTGCTCTCCCTCTCCCTTAATGTCAAAAGCTCTGATGGCACTCGTAGGGAAGGGCAGGAAATTGTTTGGAAGACACTCAAGGACT